TTTTGTTATGAATCGAAATTTTATAATTCGATCTAATTAGTTGGATAAGGTAATTTAGGAATAATGTAATAAGTTTAATATATAAATTTGTTCATTGTAGCTCATTTACTTATCTAAATAAAAAATTAATGTATAGGGGATTCATAATAAGAAAGTGATTACGAATAGTTTTAAAAGTTATTCTCAAACTCCTTACTATTTCAGTACATTGTGTATGTGTGTGGGTGTACGTATACGTCATAGATTTTTTTGTTGCTATGACACTGATACCAGTAATTCAGATGATCTAAAATAACAGATTATGATATTTAGTGGATTCACTTTCTTCTTACACAATGAATTTCGATTACTAGGTTTCGTACTCTTCGTATAACCATCTAATAAGTTTTTATGTAAATTGTACATATACAGATTGTTGTAATTACATTTTTCTCGGAATAGATCATCCACAGAAACGGAATAGTTATACCTAGGACATTTTATAAAATGCATCAACTAAACTGTACTCTTAATTTCTATCATATTTTGTGTGTTCAATGACTGTTTATTCACATTTTTCAATATAATAACGTTTCAGCCTTTGTCATAGTTCGCTCGAGTATTTAGTAGCAATCACTGATAAGTACTATGTTTTCCTTTTTGTCACTAATGTTTATCTGTAATTCACTATTCAGGTTTTGTTCTACACTACATCTTTTAAACTGTCACTGATTTCAGTATGTATTTCTTTTTCACTTGAAATTTATTAGACTCATGATTAATAAATTTACTTAAAAATCTTGAAATGTGGGATTACGATTATTTTGATGGAGATTTGTTCTCTGAGCTCAGAAAACAAAACTCTATCAAATTCATCCATCTGAGCTACAAATCTTCCCCGCCATCTCATTACGATTATTATCCTATTAATACTTCGGGATTAAAAGAGATTTTGCCTTGTACATCAGGCGACGAGTATTATAAATTGTTTCATGGTTGTAAAATATATGAATCTCATCACTTGTAGTCATATAAAAGTTTCACAAAACCTAGTTACCATTACTTTTGAATCACTTTTTACAGATAGTGAGATTATTTCATCAGAAGTAAAGAGATTATATCTCAAATTATAGACATAATTTAAACATATTACTTAGATAACTAATCAGTTTATTATTGGCTGGGTTTTCCATATAGTCTTTACATTATTACATGAAGTTATAATATTTGAATTATGGAATACCTACTTGTCATTCTTTTACTTACAAGGAATTATTATTCATTGAGCTGGGGTTATACCGACATTGAGAATTTTTTAACTAAAACGTTGTGTTTACTTACGCTGGTTACTCTTACTTGTTAGATTTCTGAGAGTAGGTAAAAAGAAGCTGTAGACAGACTGGCGTGAGATCAGTTTATGAAATCATTGACTACTAGCTCGAACCATATCACTAGGCTCAGAATTTCTGCTTGGGGGATACACAATACATGTAGTCTATTTGGAAACGTTGAGTGATATAATACACAAAATTATTCACAGTGATGCAGTTGGATTTTTTCTCTATCTTTTCCTAGATCTGATGATAATTGTTGTTCATCCTTGAATTTCATGTGTCCTTTTTGAGTTGTACTTTCTATGTTTACCTTCCCGTTACTGTTAAGACCAAGTCTTCTTGTGCGCTTTTCATCTTATTAATTTACTACTCACATATGCTGATGTGAGGTATGCTAACTTGGACCGATATAAATTCGTATCAAGTCCTATATCGTTAAACCGGTTGGCTATTTATTAGAATATTCGCACTTCGAATATGTTATCATGACTGTATTTTCTCAAATAGTAATTATGTTAACAAGTTAAAATGTTTTCCACTTGACATGTTACTAACTAGCGCATTCTATTTAAACATTATTCACTAAAGTTAATTCTTAGCGGTTTATCTACTAGATTCTCAACAGAATCCATTCTGACATCTTTATCTCACTGTCCTAATGAGATGTGACAATTTAGTCTGATGTACTAGGTTCTATGTTGTATATGACTGACTAACTATCTCGAGCACCCAAACCAACATAGTAACAATGAACTTAGACACATCAGGTAATAGCGTTGTTATTAAAGCATATTTTTAGTTTCGTTTTCTCTAAGATAAATAGTTTTATTATGAATCTTTCATAATCCTTTCTTCATAATATCATCGTCTGATTTTACTAAAAATGCAAAAGCAAAACTTTGCAGCCATTATCTCATATGGCTGATAAAGAATGCGACACTACTGGATAAAAAATGCTAATGATCTTTATTCCTGTTATGTCCACGTTGCCAATTACTTATAAATAATCTTATTTAGACCATCCCTGTGCGTGGGATCGTGAGCACGCACTACTGATGAGTTCCATACTAGAACGAAAGAGTTGTCCAGTGCTTCATGAGTTTCAATGTTGGTTTAGCTATGATTAGTTCTTGACTTAAAATATGAAAATTTTCCAATCTACCTAAAACCTTATACTTACAAATCATTTTATTTAAAATCAAATTGCCTAATCTACGACTCACTTCGTTACATCATTCGTTCCTCAATCATTAGGTAACAAACTATCATTCCAGTTCGTATATAATGACTTCGATAACTATGGTAGTCTTGCTAGTATTTGTGTAATAGATGTGGGTTTCATAATCTAGTTTCCTCGATCAAATGAAATTTAAAGGACAATTCATATTTAAAATTTTTACATGTTAACAGATATACAAGTAAGTTGCGTAATATTTATCATAGTTTTAATGTAATGTATTTACCAATTATAGGTTTATCTACTCAAATTTGTCTCACATACGCACGTTTGTTCGAGGTTATCTATTTCAGTAAATATCGTCATTTCATTTTATTTGTGTTTGGGCTGTGATACTGTCCGGTTGCCCAAACAGAGGTTATCCGATGTCACTACTTTAACTACCCGGTTTCCCTTACTGAAGTTAGTAGAAAAGAAGTAGAATTTTAGACTGTCACTTATTATTATAAGCTAAGTGGTTTGATTATTTGGTCACCACTACTCTACTGTGTGGGTTGTTAATATTAACTGATACACTTAAATTCAGTGTTTGATATTTATGATTAGTTGATAAAAATTCTTGTGTCATTCGTCATCATAGAGTGTATAACAATACCGTCCCATTCATTGATATTAACTGTAGGAGGTTTCATTACGGAAAATTTATCAGAGGTCTTGATTGGAATACCTAGCATGTTGGGTCCTCTAATGATGTTCTCATAACTTCGGATTGCTTTTTTTCCTAAGAGCGATGGCACAGTGGATAATGCTATTTTTGTGTGCTAGGTTCGGAGTCGATTGTATGCTCTATGTATGCACTCCTTATTATTGTTCCAATCCAAAGTTTGTACCTCACTTCATTCATTTCAATTTGGACAGTAGGGTAATACTATTGTCTCACACATATTGTCTTGTGACTCAGTGCCGTGTACATAAACCTGTACTTAATATGTGTCACATAGTCATGGTATTTCAAATATCCTTTAGTGAGTAATATCTTTGCAAATAAAATTTGAACTCATAATCTTTCATGCGTTTTACATTTTTGTTCTTATAAATATCATTAGTCTTTTCTCGATTTAATATGTTTTACACGTTTATTTATATCTTGAATGAGTAAAAGTCATTCAAATTTATCTTTACTTTAAAAATGATCTCAACTGAGAAATAGATTTTCAAGAATAAATTCAACCAGTGATATATGATTTTATTTGGTTATCTTGATTTCTGTCGTTTAATTTGATTGACCCACCTGTTAAGTAATGACAATGTTTAGGGTTAAGATTTATATCTTTGAACGTGTAGCATATCTGCTTTTCAATGTTTAATATGTATTCAATATCTAGCATTTTTCTGTTCGTTTAGTAAGTGAATGCTGCACATGAAATCATAATTTTCACTGATGATTTCATCTTAAGCTGTTACCTTCATTGGATTTACTGTTTTTCATTTGAAAATTCGGGATGCGCTACAGTGTCATGTTTATAGAAGGCATATGTAGATTACTTTAGATTGTTGAAATGTAATCACTGGTGAAAACTGCATTCTTATAAGCAGTATTGACCCATTGAATGAATGGGGAAAATACTACAGTACCACTAGATATTGCATTTTTATTAAACAGTGAAAAAGTATTATTATCCTCACACCAATGTGATACTGAAAAGTCAGTGTTTAATTGTTTATTATAAATTATAACCTTCTAGATATCAGTGTATATATTTTGATATAAAAAAGGCGACACCAAGGTCTAAAACATAGTTTACATCTAATGAATAGTAATAGGCACTAATAACTTACATTATTTACCTAAAACCATCTTTATCAGTAATGAAACAATCAGTTTATGATCACCTAAGTCTTACATCATTCTCCCCATTCTTAGTTTCATTTTATCATATATCACCCGTTATTCTCAAGTGTGTATACAGAGTTCATTGTGGTCACTGTTATTGCGTCATTTCGATCATTATCTACATCGTAAACACCATTCATCATTATATCATTATTATTTATTCTTGTCTAAAGTTTTTGTGTCTATCACCTACCATGAAACATTCAATTATTAGTAGTATATATATATATATATATATTTCCTTTATTTAATGTTCATTATTTACTTATGCCTCTGTTATCATCATCGTCATCATCATCTTCATTCTCATCAACAAAAAGGACTATCAGAATTTTGCTTCTTTTATTTTTATCATCCTTCCCATTTGTTTGATTGTCTGTTTGATGATGTTTGATTATGATCGGGATATGAATGTTGATATCTAATTGAACGTGGTGGCTGGTTCGCGTACTAATTACTGTTTGATTTGTTCATTGTGTGTCTGTTCTTGTTGTGTATTATCGCTTGCATGTTTGTATGTACTGATTTGTATTTAAATTGTTGAATGTATTTGTGTGTGTATGTGTTTGTTCATGAATGAATGCTTGTACATATGTCCATGGTCCACTACTCTCAGGTACAACAGAACGTGTTTGCCTAATTATTGGATCGTTCGATGGTGTCATTACTGTACATAATTATATAATGGATCGAATCATGGAAAAACCTGATCCTAATCCAAATACAACTGGAGAAGGCAGACTGAATGTTGAACGTCATAAGCAGGTAGGATTTTTTAGTTGTTATATTGTCGTTTCCTTCTGTTTACTGTGTTATCGATTCATACATAATCATATTATCGTTCACACTGTAGTTCAACTAAATTACTTGTGATCAGTTTTTATTGTCAATATTTTCCTTAAAAATATTCTTTCTTTTTCCTATATTTTACTTTTCGTTTTAATTTTTAAAAATTTGATTCATAGGTGAAAATTCTTGTACCGAATAGTACAGCTGGTATGGTTATAGGGAAAGGTGGATCATATATTCAAGAGATCAAAGAGAAAACTGGTGCATATGTGCAAATTTCACAAAAATCTCGTGAATTCAATCTCTTAGAACGATGCATTGTTGTTGCCGGTAAGTTATTCATGATGTATTGGTAGAAGATTAAATTATTGGAAACTTCTAGGAATTATTTATTGGCCGTTATTATATACAGTCAACTGTACAGAAACAACACAGTGATCTGATGGGATAAAGAGACGAAATTATTTAGGTCAATATTTTTTGTATCGATTCATTATGAATTTCCGCCAGGGTGATAGGTGTGAACTTCGTTCACCTTGACATTCACATTAGATCCTTCTGGTTTATCAACATTGTTATCCAGGTTTTTAAGGACTCCCACCTCTTCCAGAGCTTTGTCATCAAGTGTAATTTGGTTGATGGTTCGCTAACTAAAAATTCCCAATTACTTTTACTTTTTTTTCAACAGAAAGTCTTTGTTATACTCGATTTGATTTTTCCGATTGTTGTACCAATTGGTTTTAGTGTTACACTGATTTTACAGTGCCTTATTAGAAATCATAAGCATATAGAGTTGATTGCATTTTAATACATTAGTTCCTCGTACTTATTTTTCGCTCCAGAAAAACGTTTCTGAAACTCATTTCTAATCTCTTCTTTAATGCATTTACATAGCATCGTATGAAACCTTACTCAAAGTTTTCTTCATATTTGAGAAGTGCATAGTACTGTTCAGGCACTTCGTTATACTCTGTGATGGGAATCTTAGGATTTAACCATCTATGCATAACATTATATAGTTGCTAACATTTTCAAATAAAATCATCCCCATATAAGACATACTTATTTACACCTCTTAAAAGAGGATAGGCCACTCACCAGTATGATCCATCCAAATCTCTCCTGGACAATTCTCTCCAGTTGCTATTCATCCTTTTCATGTCTGCTTCCAATTTCGACGTAGTGTGTTCTTTGGCCCTCCACTTTTCCGTTGCCCTTCAGCATTCTAAGTTAGCACTTGCCTCGTGATCCAGTTTGGGGATTTCTGTAATGTATGTTCTATCCCCTTCCAACGTCGTTTCCTAATTTCCTCTTCAGATGGAACCTGGTTTGTTCTCTTCCCAGTATGCTGTTGCTGATAGTTACCGGTCAACGAACATTGAGTATCTTGAGTAAACGGTCAGCTATAAGTACTTGTACATTTTTGATTATGGTTGTAGTAGTAGTAGTAGTAGTCGAAAATAACTTTGCTAAACAACTCTAACCATAGAAGATATACTTATTAATAATAAAATGTCATAATTCTCATTATTAAAAACAAATTTGAACTCCAATAAAAATTTCAAGTTAATAATTGTTATTTTAATTTTAGGTGAATTAGATCAAGCACGCGCTGCTGTTCATTTAATTTTAAATGTTATTGCTACAGATCCACAATCAGCTAGTTGTCCAAATCTTTCGTATCATGATATTCAAGGACCAGTAGCTAGTGTTTATCCAACTGGTTCACCATATGCAACACCGATTATTCCTTATTTAACAGGTTCGACTATTTTATCTAATCCATCAATTGATACAAATTCTTCTGCTACAGCAGCAGCGGCCGCTGCCGCTGCAGCGGCAACTATGATGGCAGCAGCTGTAGCATTTACACCTGGTCCATCGTCACAACCAACCACATCATCATTTATTTCTTCACCAGGTGGTGGTACTACATTTGGATTTTTTCCACCGAATTTTCAATCAACACCAGATATTGCAACAATTGCAGCGTTAACATCAAATCCTACAGCTACTGGTGGATCAATCGTTTTGCCGTCTATACTGCCTAACACTGGTAATGATAGAACTCTATGTAGTAATTTTTCAGGAGATTTATTTTCACAAACTGTTAGTGTGGGTGGTAGTAGTTCACCATGGTCAAATATTTCAGGACGAACTGGATTCGATGTAATAGTGCCTGATCTTAATGCTGCTTCTGCATTAACAACAGTATCAGTTGCACAGGAAGCTTTAACTGGATCTTTTATATCACCTAAACCACAAGATTCTCAGTCAAGTCGTTCTGCATTATCGCCTCCAGTATACTTTCCTTCATCTTCATTTATTCCAGGTAGGGATTGGGTTGATTAGTGTGTGGAAGTTTCACTGATAGTGATGCTTATTGTTTTATGTACTTAATATATTGTCATTTATAAAACCACAGATTGATGTCGTCTAGTTTTCCTTCTTAAAACAATAAAAATAGTTTCATTCGCTTAAATTTAAACTCGAGTTCCAAGTTAAATTTTATTGTGTTTAGCATCCAAACATTAGACATCTTGGTCTTTATGTTTTGTGAATGTTAGCTATGTATGTAAGTAAAACGTGAACTGTTCTTTTGGTAAGATACATTGCACTGAACCACATGATTGTAATGCTTATTATTGTACGTGAAGTGATTCTCAGTCGTGTGACTTTCACGTTTTGTGTTAAACTGTTGAGCTTACTTTAAATAACTGAGTGTTATTGTATGGTCATTTCACGTCAAGTTGTTCGTGACTTGAACAACCGTCTGACAAAATACCGAGTGTTTTAGATCCTAAATCACTATGGAATCATCGCTTCATTAAAGTCTCATATCACCCTGTTGATTAGTACCAAACAACACAAAAAAGCCGTAATTCTTCGAGAGGTGATAGGTTACTACAATGCAAATAACATTAGTAATACTATTGTTGCTTATAAATTCAATTAACTTAGAATAGTTAAGCTATTTGATTTGTCGCTGCTATTTGGATGGGTTATTTTTATATCATCAATTTTAACTTCAATAATTTTTTACATAACCCATGGAAATTAGTTGACATAGAATAGATTATCATCAACATATGCAAACACCACCTTATGGGGAACAAAGCAACAATGTTCATTATGTTTAATAGAATAATTATGTTAATTTTTACTAAAGTTTTTTCATAGAGCATTTGTTTAATTTATTAGCCGTGTGTTCTATCACAAATCTTTTGGTGCATAAAATGTAGTACAATATATTCAACCTTTGAGTCGATGACATTGTAAACTGCTGGAACTTTCCTAAGTAGATTGGAGCAGTTTTTTGGTACTTCCTATTTTTGAATTTACAGTTGATTGACCACTAAATAGTGACCAGTGTCACTTTTATTTAGTACATTAATATGGATTGAATCCTATCGATCGATTAGTAATATGGTCCACAGATTAGTTGATTTAACATCGCGTGATTTATGTTTCTATATAGTCCAAATTGCATAGCGGTTACGTTTCAAACAATAGAACTAGACGATATCTAGTTTCAAATCTCACTTCCTTCATGATTGTGGATGTATACCTTAGTGAAGAAAACAATGTCAAGTAGGGCTTCCTGTTAACTTCCTCCAACTACATAACATTCCTTATCAAGGTAATAGTGGCTTAATGTATCTTTAAATTATCGGTTCATTGCATCTCACCTGGTCCAATTTTTATTACTAGTTCATTAGACATCAGTTCAATTATGTTTCTGAAATCTTAATACATGCTTCTATACGTGATTAGTGGTAAGTTAAATCTTTGAACAGTTCTCTAGCTTACATTAATTCTATTTACTCAATATTCCTATTCATAGATATTCATTAATTATCATATTTTATAATAAATTTTTAGCACCACTTCGAATGTCTCCTACAGCTTTATTTGGTTATCCAACAATTGGTTATGGAAATCCTCCACCTGTACAACATAGTCATTTAACACCAACTAGAGGTATACAACCAATACCTTAACTGAAACTAGTTCATCATCAATTTGCAGCAATTCATCAAATTTACCATCATTATTTACATCACCAACTGGATTAACTGCTAATATTGCTACATTAGCTGCTCTTTCCGCTGCGATTACAGTATCAGGTGTACCAACTGTAACAAATACAATTACAACAAATGTAACAATTAATTGTACAAAATCTTTACCAATTCTTTCAAATCCTAATCCACTTGGAACTGGTTCAACTGGTGCTTTATTTAATTTATTACCTTGTTCTCAGTTATCATCATTTAATGTTACACCAATTGTACCACATGTAGTTGTATCGAATGATTCAATTACAATGTCAATACCTAATTTATCATCAAATCCATTTTTATTATCACTTACAGAAGGTGATGTAAATCAACCTAATATACAACAACAATCATCTTTAGCTCCAAGTATAAATTCATCGGCACAAGTTACCGCTTTACCATCTTCATCAACATTAATTGGATTTCATGGATTACAATATAATTCAGGATCAAATATCATTACACCTATGGGAAATTATGTTGCATACAGACGTATTATATCTGTAGGTTTTGAAAAAAAACATTTTGGTATTTACTATTATCTGAAATGTTATGTCGACTTATTTACTGTGTGAAATAAATGTCTGGCTTTTTCTTTAGTCAAGATTATGTCATTCATTATATATACTGTTCTGATAATTCGATTGTATTTGATGTTGGTTTCATTATAAATTATCACAATATGTTGTATTTTAGTCATTCCATATCAAATCGATAACCTTTACACTTAGTACTAGCAATTATGCACGGCTTTTCATCAGGTTGGAAAATCCTAGTGACAAATATTGGCGGTTTTTAGTGTATGATAACAGAAGGAATATTGTAGAAATTGGGACCGGTTTTTCAAACTATTATTAATTATAATTTCGATATATAACTACTGAGTAAAAAGATTACTCACGATTTACTATTTCTAATTTATCACAAGTCTTTTACTCACCGTCTCCTCTATTCACAACCACTTTTGACTTATTTATGTATAATTGTTATTTTATGGTATGATGCGGTATAGTGTGTCTGCGCGTAAACTATTTCTGTTTGTAATATAAATATAGTAGAGACTGATTACTACTTCTAGACTCAAGGTAGAGCATAGAAAGAAGCTAGCAAACAGTAGACCAATAGAAACCTAGCTGTCGGTTCAAGATCAGTAGCGCTGGTTGGACATGTAATTGGTCAGTATGGGGGACACTGGGCTGTCGATGAAATAGTTTGCACGAAATATACTGAATTCTAACTCTGATTGGTGGCTTGGCACGTGACATTGGTCAGGGGTCGTAGAACATGATAAGTTCAGATAAGTATGTTGATTATCGGTTTTATACTTGATAATTTCGACTAAAAACCGGTTCCAACTTCTACAATATTCGTGGAGTCATAACAAAACTTTTCCGTGATCTTCAAAATGTGTTCTGGAACTTTATTGTTTTATAAAAGGTTTTACGCGTTAAAAATACATGTAGCATTACAAACATGCCCAAAGTCTCTTGGGTTTTACGTAGCAAGAAGAAGTCTTAAAATGGGGTGGAACACATGGAGAAAGATTTCTGAATCTCATCTTCTTTATTAGCCTATTTGTACGAAAATGTTTACAATCCATTATTATTTATTATTATATTATTATATTATTATTATTATTATTATTATTACTCACGATGATTGTATATGCGTACAATTAGTACATTTCTGTTTAATCTTTAAATATTTCAGGTTCCAGAAAGTGTGATCAATATAATCCTTGGTCATCAAGGTCGATCTATTATGGATTTACAATTATTTACTGGTACTGCTATACAAATATCTCAGAAAAGCACTTATTTATCTGGTACACAATATCGTACTGTCACAATAATTGGACCACAAGTCAATGTACAATCAGCAGCTGATGTAATTGAGCATATAGCAGTTATTGAGCATATGAAACGAGAATCTGGTTCATATCAACAACATTCATTATCGTTATCACTTCCTGGTAATGGTAGTAGTACTAGTACTGTTGGGCGTCCATGTAGTGTTAGTGGTGGTCAACTAAATTCGGATTATTTTATACAATCTGGAATATCACATCCATTCACATCATCGACATCATTTTCATCATCTTGCATTAAAGGAAATTATCCAGAATGTCAGTCAACATGTTCAGCATCGAATAGTGGTATATCATGTCCGATAAGTATGATTAGCTCACTTCCTTTGACTACTTGTATAACTACTGTTAATACTGCCAATGGTACTAGTGGTAGTAATATTATTATTACTGGTTTGTCTTTTCCGTCATCGTCTTGTGATACTGCTGCTTCTGCTTCAAGAAGATCTGGAGGAGGGAGTGCTGGTGTTAGTGGTTCTGGCGATTCACTGTCTTTTCAAAGTTCAATCGACTCAGTATCTATGCCTGTAACTAAACGTGATGAAACAAAGTAGTTTATTAATAATAATACTATCGAATCATTAGAATTTAACAAAATAGTTCTATCACGATTAACACTACTTATAATCGTAGCGGTAGTAGTAGTAATTACTGTTGTAGAGTATTAGAAGTAGTGTTTTTTTTGTTGAAAGAATAACAGTTAACACCGGTGGAATGTTAATAACATAAAGCTAGACGATCCGAATTGAATTGATAAACTAAATCACACACACACACACACAATTTATATGATTTCAGCTTTACACTCTATTCGTCTTTCAATGAACACAAAAAGAAAACCACTTGATTTTGTTTGTTTATCTATTTATTTATGTAGTAAACTTATTTTTGTGTTTTACTTTTTTGTGTGTGCATATATATGTGTGTATTATGTAATAATGATAGTGATGGACAATTTTATTGATTTTAACTCTATATAATTTGGTGTCATTTTGATTATTTAATGCCTTCGGTTTCTTCACTCCGCCCCCTTCGTTCATAGTCTCTCTCTCTCTCTCTCTCTCTCTCTCTCTCTTATATATATATATATATATATATATATATATATATATATATATATACTCGTATATGTGCATAACCGGACGTTTTTTTGTATCCCATTTGTCTTGGGTGTTTCAGAGGTTACATTGATTATTGCATAATTTTTTTTCTTGAGGTTAATAATTCTCTTAGCGCCATTTTATTTATTTATGACTTTTACGGCCCTTTCAATTAAGATTATTTATTACTATCGTTATTATTTATTATTTTTGGTTTTACATGAGTAAAACTATTATCTATTATATATCGTTGAATATTGATTTTTTGTTTTTGTTTTACTCATTCTCATTTTATTTATTTTTTTTGTCATTGACGGGCCGTTTGTTTTTTTGTTTTTTTTAAAAATTATTTTGCGGATGGAAAATTGTTTTTTTCCTTTTAACTGAATTATTCTATATTTATTTATCATTTAAAAGATTTACCCATATCCTTATTTGAAGTTCCATGGTCTTATGAATCCAATTCTTATTATTATTCAGTCATAACTATCTGTATTTGATGATATAGTCGTTATGATATTTCTAAAACTATTGTCAATGTCATTTAGTGAACATTGACTGTTGTTGTTTTTTTTTAACTTAACCACCATAATACTACTGAACAATTGCTTTTCTTTCACATGCTTTTTTACATCTATTAACCTTAGTTTTATGTTTTGTTTTCGAAATAAATCAATATAGTTTTAAGATAACTATAACGTTATATTCATTCGTTTCCCTTGATATGAATGCTAATTATATGTATACAAAAAAAAAGCAGAGATAACTGTCAATATTTGATTGTTATTCCTCAATTGGTTTTGTTTTCTCATTGTGTTGATGCTTCTATACATTAATTGGACTACAGAAATGTTTATATAATTTACTAATATTGACATTGTATAATAATAATATCTTTATTGGACAACTATATTCAATATTTATTGTTACGAAATGATGTAATCTGTTTATTTAATGTTTAATATGTAGATAGATAAATTATCTGTCTTATGTTGAGACTATTATTCTTGGTTTCATATTGTCAATTTCATCATATAAAATTATCCGGTGTATTTTTTCCCCTTCTTTGTTATTTAGATTTGTTATCTTTACTCTCTTTTTTTTCAGTGCTATTTGTGATTTAATCTTTATGTATAAGTCTATTTGTATAGTGAATTGTTTATATACGAGCATTGTCTGAAAGATCTTTATGTATTATGTAAGTGTACATGTGTATTTATGTTCACATGGTAGTATATTTACTGCTGCCCAGTTGCTTGTTTTTTTTCTTTTTAGATCAATAAATTTCATTAATGGCCACCCATCAATGATATTTTCATTTAATTGTATACATGTACTGTGTTATGTATATGGAACATTTGTATTCAGTGTAATTTCTTACATCTGTGGTAAGCACAAGTCTATAGCTTCGAGAATAAAATGATTGTATTTTTCTACTGAATGCACTTTTACTACTGTTTATGTAGAAAGTAGTATGTCTTGCTTAGCGAAAGTATTGTTTTGTTTGTTTATATATCCATCTATTTAGTTCCCGCTTGTTTTATATTATCTTAATTAACTAAGAAAATGAGTATTCTTTTTGATCAACACAAATCTTATACAAAAATCACATCTCATAAACTATCTATTGATGGGAAGTAATACTGACTATATTTCTTGTCCCGGTTCTTTTGCATTGTTATTCTTTATATCAATATTTATGGTACTCCATAATCTGCTGTGAATTTATAAGTTTCTTTGTTTGTTTTTCATTGTAAAATAGATGTCTACCTACTTTTAATTCTATTTCCATCATGAACTTTATGAAATAATTCCCTATCACTCATAGATTACAGAATTTTTCTCTTCGATTCCTTTTTTTTTGTTGCAAACTATCTAAGAAAATTTCATTTCTTCTTTGTTTCTCTTAGACATTTTTTTCTTAATTTAAAACTATTCTAATGATATTACAATATCATGAAAGAATGCTCCTTATCTTCATTACTCTGTTCAGTTGAGTTTTTTTTTAAAACATTTGATTTTATATAAATGATTTGTAGGAAATGAACAGCTTACTGAAATGTTTTCTTTTTTGTTGTCAATTCAAGTTCATTAATTCATCTTGATGTGAATAGATATTTCTTTATTGTTTAGTTGTATTAATGATCAATTGTTGTCATTATTATTATTGTCTTATACAAAATACAGATTAATGTTCTAGTTTGATAAACATTTTGTTGATATGGTGATTATTACTGATTGTGAATTATAGTCAATAATTGTCAATGATATACAGTGTCAGAGATGTTAATGTTTCTTTTTTATTTCTTCTATATATATATATACTTTATTATCAGATTCATATCCATAAAAAAACAATAAATAGAGAAGAAAAGTGTATATTCACTTTACAATTATGTATTGTCTATCATGAAGAAAGTGTTTTAAAGGAAAATAGATTGTTATAATATAAACCCTTTTTTCTTTTGTTTCTTCAGTTCAATAAATTACATTATGAGATGATAGAGAAGATTTGTAGTTCAAGTGGATGATTTTGATGGAGTTTTGTTCTCTGTGCTGGATGGTTTGGTCGTGGAGCTTTCATCCTTCTTCTGAACGACATCATCAGCACAAACTTCAGATAGAAGTGAAGTGTTCGAATTTCTCTATATGCATTTCACAGCTTGTTCTGTACACCTCGAGGTTGATTAGTTCTTATTGACCTTAAATTTGTCATTGTTTACTTCTTTGTTTTGGTTGTGTTTCCCATTAGTTTTCATTTTTGTTCCTATATTTGTGCATGATTTTCCTGATTGGTTGATAAGTTGGATCGATTTCAATATGTTTGTTGATTTTTGATTGACCTGAGTGCCAGGCTTCTAAAAATTCTCTGGTGTTTTTGGAATTTCCTCTGTCCGAGATTTCCAAATTTTCCAATAGAATGAGTGTCCGCAGTTGTCCACATGTATAAGTGAAAGATATCATGGCGTTTGACTAATAATTGATGTTCATGTAAACGAAGGTAAAGGGGGCGTCCACTTTGTCCGATATAGTGTTTTTCGCAGTTGGCACAATTTATTTTGTAGATGATGTTTGATTTCTCTTCCTTTCTTATTTCATCCTTTGGTTTGCATAGGATTGATTGTAGTGATTTTGTTGGTTTGTGTGCCATACCTATCCTGAAGGTTTTCAGCAGTCTCGTTGCGTTTTCTTACATGCCTTTTATGTATGGTACGGCGATCCTTTTGTTGGTTTCTGTGCTTGACTTAGGTTCTGATGCTGCATGCGATTGGTATTTTTTGATGAAGTTGATTGGGTAGTCGTTCTTTTGAAATACGTTCTTCAGGTATTTCTCTTCATTTTTTCGTGCTGTCAGTGTGCTGCAGGAAAATTATGCACAAATATAGGAACAAAAATGAAACCAATAGGAAACACAACCAAAACAGAGAAGTAAACAATGACAAATTTAAGGTCAATAAGAACTAATCAACCTCGAGGTGTACAGAACAAGCTGTGAAACGCATATGGAGAAATTCGAACACTTCACTTCTATCTGAAGTTTGTATTGATGATGTCGTTCAGAAGAACGATGAAAGCTCCACGACCAAACCATCCAGCACAGAGAACAAAACTCCGTCAAAATTACATCATTGTTTTGACTTTAAATGCAGCTTTTTATCACGTAATTTATTTGCCAATCGAAATACGACTTATACAATCTTAGTACTGTGCTAAAGCAATGACGTTCGACCGGTCTGATCAGCCTAGTGTCCTTATTGGTCCTTTGCTCGCTTAGCCTGTCCAGAACACCAATAATAGCTTCCACTATGCGAATCATTTATTTCAGACATACTTGGTTTATATACTAGCCAAACAAACCACATCACATTATGAAATGGAAAATAACATTTATACAAGATCAAGCCAAAAAGTGACTGAACGTGTGAGACTAACCAATAAACTGAACATATCTTATGACCAGCAAATCATATAATAATAGTTTATAGGTCAAAATGAAGCTTATAATAAGGAGAATATAGATATACATAATATAGTTAATGAATAGTTATACCATAAGAATATATAGATAATATAAGTCCATTAATAGGTCTCGAAAATTACTCGTAATTTAATCTTTGCTAGGATATAGCAATTATGATGTCTAAGAATACAGTCAATTTCGGTACAAGTTGAAATTCAACTAAATAAATAAATGTAAATTCATTTACTAGGATTTATGTTCATATCAATTAGTGAAAACAATAATAACTAGTTCAATTTTTTTTCTAGGTTTTTAGACACTCTGTGAAACGGCAAGCCGCATGACTACTTTTTTTTCTCCAAATTATGGGGATGTAAGAAATAATAGAAGAGAGGGGATTATTTTTAAAATATAAAATAATGATAATAACTTCATCCCATAAGTAAAGTTTGTATGAATCTTCCCCATTGATTTTTAGGACTGCAATAGAGTAGTTACTTTTGGCATATTTGCATCGTGTGTGGATGTCCACAATATTGCCAATGAGTCACAAAGACTTTGAGGAAAGATGGATGATGGCTAGCAGTGAAATTAAGGACATGCGTTTCGTCCTACTTAGAACTCGTCAAATGGATATACATGCATCCTGTAGTTGATTTCGGTGTTTGGAACAAAGTGTACTGAGTTCGAGCTCCGGAGTGAACATAAAATCTTGGATGCAAGTACATCCAGCTGATGGGTCCCAGATATGATTAAACGTGCGTCCTTGATTACACTGATAGCCGTCATCCACTTCTGTCTAGTATTGATATTAATTTAAGGCTATGGCAAAGATAATGATAAGACATACTTCTTTTGTACACACAGTTATGGCTTCATCTCATGGGTGGCAAGAGCTTTTGTTGTTTTAAGTAGTTGGATACGAAGAAATCTTGGTAGAATTAATCGAATTATATAAGCAACTTTAAAATTAATTTGTAGATCAATGGAGTGGTTGGGATTAATTAAG